GCCGGCCCGTGTCTCTCTCGCTTCCGTCGGATTCGGTGTGTGTGCGTCAGGGCGGCATGTGCTGTTAATCTTGTGCAGCGCCGGGATGTGTCAGGTTTGCAGCTCGGTCAACAACGGGGCCGTGCTGGAGGGGGCGCTGGAAAGCAAGGCGGCATGTTCCCTTCCCGTGCAGTGCATGCTGAGCCGTCCGTTAGCTCCAGGGCTCCCTCTAAGCGATGGGGCAGCTCCCAGGGGGTTAATCGGCCCCGCCTGGTCAGAGCCAGCAGGTAGCTGAGTGACTGGGTGGGGCTGATTGCTCCCTGGCAAGCCATGCTGCCGCGTAGCTTAGAGGGAACCCTGCTCCACACCCTTGTTGAAATCAAGTGTTCCAGAGAACCCGAGACATGTGGGTCTGGAAGGGACCTGGAGAGCTCTTCTAGTCCAGGCCCCTGCTCTCTTGACGTGACCTGCTGGAAACCTTTCAGTAACAGGACTGTAAACTGGGAACGGCGCAGGGGAGGCAGCGCAGCAGGAAAACGACCTTTAGCAGCCACAGAGCTAAACGATGAACTCCTGAACCGGCTGCTCCGATCGAACCTGGGTCTGCTCTCCTTTACCTCTGTGTAAATCTGGAGTCAATTTCAAAGCGGTCTGGGTGCCTGAGCTGGCCTATGCACTTGTACGTACAGAGGGCCGTGTTTTAAACATGGCACAAACCTACACACAGCCCCAGGACTGGCGCCACCCGGTGAAGACGAAAGCGCTGCACTTGTATTCCCATTGCGTCTGGGAGCTGCGCTGTTCTAGACCTTCTGTTGGCTAGTCTGTCCTCGGCTGGGTCACCTCTCGCCGCAAACAGGGACCAGACTGGCTTCCTTCCGCCCCAGTTCCTTCACTCAGGCTGTCTGTCACTTACACAACTGGCTGCTGCGTTCATTGCGCACAGTTGTGCCACGAGACCGCGTCTGGGAAATGACGCTACGAGAACGACCTGCGTCGTGTGTTGCTGTGGGACCGATCTCTGCCGGCCCGGGGAGACGCTCCACGGTTGGAAGTGTTTCTCTCGAGTGTGGGATTCCAAAGAAGTGAAAATGACCGCCTGTGACGGCTGGCTTCCCCATTTCCCATTCTAAGTAAATGAGATGCCAGTCCCGTGAGTGTGCCAGATTCCCGGGCAGGTAAATAGACAGTTTTTATTGATGTGCACTCTTGGGAAGGTGCAACTCCGTGAAGAGGAGCAGCTGGGTGTGATGGGAAGGAAGCAATAAACTCTCACCGCCTCCTGGTCTTGTGTCCTCGCAACCAAATGGGACAGCGTGGCTGCAATGGCAATGCCGAAGCCCCATGCAGGGCCCGGGACAGAGGCCATATTTCTCCAGGGGAAGAAGAGCTTTAACAATGTGCATAAATAGGCCCCTTTGTGTTTTGAGTTGTGCATTGGGGCCCATCAACCTCAAGCTGCCAGCCTGATAAACAAGGCGGCTGGTCCTGCATCATGTTTGTGTCTGTGCCTTTTCGTTATGGAGCGGTGCCCTATGGGCCGGGGGCGTAAAGCAATTAAGAGACGCTTTGTAGCGACCGCTCTGAGCTGCCTTAGCGTTTAACGTGGGGCGGGAGGAAGGACTGCACGAGCTTTCCCTCCCCTGGCTCCTGCCAGCCGCTAGCACCCAGCTCTCTTCGGCCTGAGGACTCCCAAGAGGAGGATCTCGCGCGCTCTCTGCTGGGGGCCAGGGCTAAAGGCTTTCCTTAGGGAACGGAGCGGAGTTTCTCCTTTCCATTTTTAGTTCCTGTGGCTGGGCATGGGCCGGAGGCTGGCACGGTGCCATTAAGGGCAATGCTGTGGAAACCCTTTGGTCTGTCACGCTCCCGAGAAGATGGAGCAGCGCGGGGCTGCCCAGGGGAGCAGGGAGGGCGCTGGGCTGTGTTTGACAGAGTCGGAGCACTTTGCTGGTTGGTGCCCACGGGAATGAACGTGAAGGCACGCGTGCAGGTACCGTTCACTGGGGCGGGGAGTCGTTCTAGGCGGGTCTGGCTGGACTGCCCATTAGGTTACTCGGCACCTCCCAGAATCAGACCTTATCTTCAGTCGCTTCTAACTTTACCGCGCTTGAATTGTTTGGGCTGTTTCCATGCTGTGTGTCTGCCTCGGGCTGGATTGTTGGGTTTGGTTTTGTGAATTTCAGTCAAAACAATTCAGCTGCTTCTGAGAACAAACTACGGGGAGAATGTTCTTTGGGATGTTTCGAAAAGCTCTCCTGCCAACGTGTGTGCGTGTATACGCGTGTGCGCACACATGTACACACACGCACGTGCTTCGGGGCCTATACAACAAAGGGGGGGAGGTAGGTGCCTTAGAATGCGATCCCTAAATTAGGGATGTTAAATCTCAGTTAATTGAATAGTCGAGTAACCTCGTGACGTCTTATTGGTTAGTCGACTATTCTGTAGTCCCCGGGGTAGGGCGGGCAGCCAGTGCGCTCTGGCCCCTCTCCCGAGGAGTCCCCCTGCCACTCCACACGGGGGGCCAGGCAGGAGCTGGTCCATGAGGGGAGCCAGTTTAAAAACGAGCTCCCCTCGCGGACCGGCTGCCTGTCGCCCAGTGCTGCTGCCTCTGGTCCAGGGGCAGCAGGCCCTGGCTGGGGGCAGCGGGCGGGGGGAGTGGGGGGGAGTGCGCGTAATCTGTAGCATTAACCTGTAAGTGTTTGCTTATCGGATAATCGGTTAATCGAAGCACTATTACATCCCTACCCCAAATCCTGCCCACTAGCCCGGGAGCTGCCAGGCCTGAGGACAGCGATGGCCAACCTAGGCTAGTAAGTGGGCCACATGAGTGCCCATCTGTCATCTCAGGGGGCTCCAAGATTGTCCTACCCCAGAGGGTCCCCCAGGAGGGGGGCTGTGCTGATTGAGCTGTGGCAGCGCTGGGATTGGACGCCGAGGGAGTCAGTCAATGCCGGGTGCAGTCAGCACGCACCTCCCTGCCCAGGCCCTTGTTTCTGTGCGTGTCACTTCAGCCACATTGGTAGGAAGGAAGCCACGTGGATGGAAACCTGCAGAATTTGGCAACTTCGCCCGTGGACAGCAGCAAACACGTTGTCCCGTGGGCTGCACGTAGACGCCTGATGGGCCGCGGTTGCCCACCACTGCCATAGGAGATGGAAGGGGGTGCTAAGCCCTGTCCCCCCGGTAAATAGGTGCCTGTCCCTGCCAGATCCACTAACCAGAACCTGCCCAGGGCTGCCCTACGGCGCTGCTTGCTGGTTCGAATTCGTCCCCGCCTTGTTTCAGCTGGTGCTGATGCTCCTTATAAGCTTTTAGCCTAAAAGACATGCCTGGCTGGTGGGCAATCCAGGCTCAGTCCCCCCCCAGCCTGAGGTGCGGCAGGAACATGCTGTAGTGCTGAGTTGTGTGATGGGCTGAGGTGGGGCTCCCTTTGCCGCGCCACTGAGGGGGGGATTGAACCTGGGTCTCCCGCATCCCAGGCAAGTGCTCTGACAGCGGCTGGATGCTGGATGGGAGCTGCTAGGCTCGGCCGCTCAGAGGCTGCTGGACTATCTCCTGCATGGGACTCTGGCGCCTGAAGGTCTGCGTTTTGCCTGGTCCTGAATTGCTTTGGGCTTAGGCAGGAGGTAAGTGTCCAGGTATGTCAAGGGAGGCGGCCATGCACATGCCCCAGGATCTAAACCATAGGCACCGTGAGCGTTTTACAGGGGCACGTTGGGGTGCAAGGAAGTTAGGGGCTTACGGGATTAGGCGGCAGCTACGTGGGAGTTTTGTGGGTCGTGGTGGTGCCATGCGGAGGGACGTAAGCTCCTAACTCTGGGGTTTAGGTGCCTGAGTTGCTTTGTGGATTGCAGCCAGAGAGGCTGAAGGTCCAAAGTGTGTGCAAGGCTGGGTGCCTGTTTTGAGATGTCTGGGGACGAGGGATGTTAAATGTAGATTAATTGGCATCGACTATTGGACTAGTTGATAAGGGGGCCTCTGCCTTTGAAATGTAGTAACAGCTCCAGGGACTGACTTTAATGTCTGGCTCCTGGGCTGGGCCCATTGCTCTTGCCACGGTGATGGGCTACAGCCATCTGCCTTCTGGGAACACCTTTGTTTCTGTGCAGATGGAATGTGTGAGAAACAATTGTGATGGGGAGTCGGGCGCTTAGAACGTGGCACAAAACTTCAGAGCTCCTCCAGCTCAGAGCATGTGGCTTCTCACATCTCCAGCTGAGGTGAATAAAAGGGTTGAGTCTAATGCAGAAGGAGCTGGGGACAGAGACACAGAAAAGTCCTGTGGGGGGAAATTCTAGAACTGAGGTAACTTAGGAAGTGTGGGTTGAGGTTTGTATTTGGAAGGACCTACATTTGGATGTTCTCTTGAGTGTGTATGTGGGGAGGGAAGCCGCCACCTCCTTATACCAGCGTATGTGTCCCTGAGAGGCAGAAATTGGGAACTTTTGGAGCCCTAACTCACAGTAGGGATGTAATCGGATTAACCGAGGAGCCTGGGCACGCAGGCTCCCGCCCTGCTCCCGGGGACCCAGCTGCCACCCTTGCTGCTGGTTCTATCAGAGTCCGCAGCGCGGGAGTGGCTGCCGGCTCCCTGGGAAAAAGGCGGGAGCCGAGAGCCAGTACGCACTGGCTCCCTGGGAGAGGGGCAGCAGGCAGGAGCCGTCATGCACCAGCTCTTGGGGAGCCGGCTGCTGCCCCATGCGACTGCCTCTAATACAGAGGTAGCAGCTTGGAGCCGCAGCTGGCTCCTTTGGAGCAGGGTGGGCAGGCGGGAGCCGGAACTGGCTTAAAAGCTGTCTCCCAGTGCACATCATCTGCCGGGGAGCTGGCGGCCGCCCCGCTCTGCAGATGCGTGTGACTGCGGAAATAGTCCTGGTTACCCAGTTACCTGCTTTTTCACTTTCTTAACCCCCTGTGTGCAAATTCCCAGGCAAATGGTTTTTAGCCTTTTCCTGACCCCCCTCCCTCCCCGCCCTTCCCTTTCTGACAATGGCTTATGTGTTCTCTGCCTCGCACAGGACGTCGTCCCTGCGCTGGAACACCGGCACCAAGGAGCGCATGCTGATCAAGGTGACGGACCGGGAACCCAGCTTCCTCGTGCACCAGGGCAACGGCTACTCCACCGACAACCAGCAAGGGACCCGCTCCCGGCGGCCGTCGGGCGGCCAGCAGTCCCCCAACCTGCAGACTTTTGCCTCTGACTCGGACAACTCCGTCTTCTTCCCCGAGAGGAAGCAGTCTCCCTTCTTGAAAAGGGCCGACCACATGGGCAGCTGCTCCCCGCTGCTCGGCCGGGGAGACTCCTTCTGCTCCCCGCTCCAGGCTCAGCACCGGAAGCACTCGAACGAGTCCCAGCCGTCCTCTCCACGCTATGCCTACGAGCCCCCCTTGTACGAGGAGCCCCCCATGGAGTACCAGGCCCCCATCTACGACGAGCCCCCCGTGGACATGCAGTACGAAGCCAGCGGGAACTACAAGGCGGGCTCCCCCCAGAAATCGCCCATCCGGAAACCCCACCCCTTCCTGCAGTCGCCCAAGCAGGGCCCCAACTCTCCCTACCAGCAGCTGGTGCTGACCAAACAGAAATGCCCCGAGAGGTTCATGAGCCTGGAGTACAGCCCCGCCGGCAAGGAGTACGTCAGGCAGTTGGTTTATGTGGAGCAGTCCGGTTCCAGCCCCAAGCTGAAAACAGGCCTGCGACACAAATACTCCCCCAACCCCATCGGGGGCTCCTACTCCCTGCAGCACAGCCCCTGCCTGGCGAGGGATCAGCGCCTGGAGATCAAGTCTGGGGACTACAGCAGCATGGAAGGGGCTGACTTCCGGCACAGCCAGTCGGGGAGCCAGGCCTCCCAGGGGGAAGACTCCATGTCTTGGTCCAGCCAGCAGGACACCATGTCTTCTACAGGGTACTCGCCTAGCACTCGGAAGAGGAAAAGCAGGAAGCCCTCCCTGTCCCATGACCCCACTGCCTCCTCGACGGACGGCTCGGGGGACCGGGAGGCGCTCGGCGAGCAGCTGATGGTGGAGGAGAGGCCCCCGGCCGGCACGAACCGGCCCCAGATGAACCGCACAGAAAGCAGATCCGTGGAGGCTGAGGCCATGCGGGGCTTCCAAGAACCCTTCCTGGCCCAGGCCCGGCTGGCGTGGGAGGCGCAGCAAGCCCACTACCACATGAAGCAGCGGAGCAGCTGGGATTCCCAGAAGGATGGCTCGGGCTACGAGAGCGACGGCGCCCTGCCTTTACCCATGCCTGGCCCCGTGGTGCGGGCCTTCAGTGAGGATGAGGCCCTGGCTCAGCAGGACGGCAAGCACTGGAAGAGGAATACCTTTGAGAAGCTGGGCTTCCCCCAGATCCTGCTGGAGAAGAGTGTGTCCGTGCAGACCAACCTGGCTTCTCCAGAGCCCTACCTGCATCCATCTCAGGTAATACGCCCGGCAGGGCAGGGCAGGGTTCGGCGGCCTGATCTCAGGGGCCCGTCCCCGCGGTGACATTGCTTCCTGGCACAGCACCTGCTCTGTGAGGTACGCTGCCCCCCGCTCACGGTGCAGCCCTCACCGTGGCGTTATAGCCCCATGGGGTCCTCAGGGTTCCCGCCTGAATCACAGCCTTTGCGGGGCCGGCCAGTGCACGTGGGCGCAGCGCTGCACGGGTCTCTGGGAAAGGCGCACGACTCTGGCTAAGTCATGACCTAGTGTCGGACCCAGGAGGTCCTCTGGATCCCGTGCAGGGCTGTGCCTCAGAGTAGCCTGTCCGGGGCTGGCGTATAGTGTCTGTAGCCCGCTCGGACTCTAGCGGGGACCCCCCGACAATCCCATGCATCAGTAGCGGTTGCCATGGGAATTACTGACCGAGACGGTCGGTGGTTCTGCCTGGTGCTCAGCTCTGCATTATGTCCTGCCAGCAAAGGCCTCTGGCTGGATTCGCCATTTCTCCTTTCCTGCACCATTCCCAGCCCTGCTGTCACTGGGCTAACAGGAGGGCATGAGCAGCTGTCAGCTCCAGCTGCTCCAGCAGGCGTGGGGACGATGGGTTAAGTGGGAATAAGATGCCTTGGCTGCCTCTTAGCAGCTGCTAGCAGGCCGCTGTGGCATTGGCCTTCCCAGCTTCCTTGGAATTTCCAGAGCCGACTCCTTCCTGTTCTCTCGGGGCAGAGAAGCCCCCCAGCGCAGAGATCTTCTCCATCGCCAGGAAGGCAAAGCCTCGGGCTCTTAACTGGCCACGGGGCTGATCTGCTCCCACTGAGACCCTTGGAAAAGTGGCCACTGACCTCACTGGGCGGAGGGTCTAGCAGGAAGAAACTGCTCCTGAGACACTCCAGGCCGGTGGTTTTCCAAGAGCAGTCCACGGACCACCAGTGGGCCAAGGCCGCCTCACTGGTCCGTGGTGGGCGCTCACCCTCCTCCTTCCCCATGCAGCGGGGGGCCTGCGTTGCTGCTGCTGCCTTGTGGTTGGCGTAAAGCCGAGAGGCTGCAGCACCAGCTCCAGCCAGCAGGCGGGGAGGTGAAGAAAGCAAACTCCACCCCCCTCGGCCACGGAGCCACACGCGGAGGAGCGCTGCTGCCACGGAAGAGCAGCGCCACCCTCGGTTGGTCCCGCTGGGCAGGCGGCAGGTTGGGCTGCGCGGGCCTCGGCTGGGTGCGCAAGCGACTGGCGCCGCCCCCTTCCCTGGCGGCAGGTTGAGCTGCACCGTGCCCAGCCGTGGTGAGAGGAGGTGATGCTGGGCCTGAGGACCCTGCACACACAGGAGGCAGGTGGGGGCTTGGGGCCCTTTGGGGCTTTGTGCAGATGAGGACTCAGTCTGGGGGGAGGGGCCGAGCCGCTGCCATGGAGGGGACCCCTGTGGGACCCCCTCCCCCGCAGGACTGGAC